TCAACATCTAGACGATCTCCTTGACCTTGAGGAGAAAAACGTACTAAAACTTTATAAAATCATTCAAATAAGGAGAGAAAGAATTTATTTATTAATATTTATGTGGCTATCTCGCATGCTACGTGTGCACCGTGCACATTATACCATTGGAGATGCTCTTATTTATAGACTATTGTGAATAAAATTTAATCATTTGTCTTTAAGTGTCCTTGAGTTTCTAGTGCAACTCTGGTGAGAGTCGATTGAGCCGTGAAGAAGCGTTGGTTGTGTGACTACTCAAGCTACCTCTGAACTTTTGAGGTTAGAGGATCATTATTTAATAGAAAAATCTCAAATTCACCTTCTTAAGTGTGATGTGATCCATTTGAATGACTTCCACATGTGAGCAGAGAGTAATGTACAAAGTGAGCAGAGAGTATATCCTTTGTTACCCAATTTGGTTATCTTTGTGCATTCATTCATTTTGAGTTTTAATGTTATGATCACCCTTTTTGGGGAATGATCAACACGATTCGCCGAATGCCTAATGTGAGAAAAATTTAAATTATCAGAAGTAGCTAACATAGCTTTAATAGCCTCTAGAGTTAAATGAAAAGATTTCACAACCCATTTTGTAACATTTTATTAAATTAGAATACACCCAATATAGTTTGACATGTCCAAAAATAAGTAGATCAGCCTCCTTCCTGATTTTCTTTTGACAACAGGTATGGAGAGTATTTTAGATACTCCGGGCATTAGATTTTTCATCTCATTCATTTTATACACTTTGAGTACTCCTAATATCTACTTCTACAAATGTGCAACGGTTTAATATGAATGAATAAATATGAATGAATAAATATTGTTAGACTTGTGTGATGCACTATGTAATTTCTCTAAACTTGTTAATTCTCTCTGCCTCTTTATGTATGTATAACACATCAGGACTCACAATAGGTTGAAAACCCTATTATAAATTTTCTCACGTGAAACACGTATTATGTACTCCCTTCGTAACATTCATATCTTCCCACTTTCCTTTTTTGGATGTAACATTTATATCTTCTCATTTCTAAATCTTCACATCATACCCCCAATAATTTTAAAAATAATACCCTATTACACCTACTTTTTTTGGATTTATTCTTCATTCCATCACATTATTTCACTATCTTCCCGTCATACCCTCAATAATTAATATCCCCTTTCACTATTCTTAATCTATCTCCTTTTCAAATGGGAACATATATATGTTACGGAGGGAGTACCATTTGTAAGATTTTAAAAAAGTAAAATAAAAGTGCATGATATTGTTTTGTTGAGTAGAAGATGTATTTCAAATGTAGTAAGTGGGGGGGGGGGGCTATAATAATTTTATTTTTCTAATATTTGGCTAACAATCATGCTTTTTGAAAAAAAATCGATAACTTAATCTCAGATATCTTACTATCATTTTATTTTGTAAATGAGAGAGATTTTTTTTCCAGAGTGAAGCAACCCTGGAGCAAACACATTATTACACAAAATGATAATAAAAAAATAAAATCTCAACGGAAACAAATGTAATTCATCAAGTAATGCCGAGCTCTACAAGAACAAGCCAAGGGACACCGCAACCCGGAGTGGTACATGCATGTCTGTATTTACCTCGATGATGCAGACCCAATTCGATTGTTATTTTTATTTAAATTTATCACATATAGTCATATATTAGTACTTAGTTATAGTCTCCTTTTTCATATTTTTATCGTAAAATGATTAAAAATCATATTTCAATTTGTAAGCCCTGCATAAAGAAACCGCGCATCCCTGACACCTTGATTCAATACCATCTAGAATCAATTGGCCGATTCCAGATCTAGATTAAAAAATCTGTATTCAATTCCAGAATCGGGTTCATGTGCACTTGCCATGAATAAAAGATGAAAAAAAGTTATTGAAAGTCTTTGGGGGAAGAAGGGATATGGAACTGATGAATTTATAATGGGTTAAAACTCACAACAATACATGCTTTATATTTCGTAATTTTATAACAATGATTGAGAGTGTGAATATACCTAAACTTTTAAAAATTTATATATCTATATCTAGAGTAAAATGCATTAATAGTCCCTAAACTATCCATATCATATCGTTTTGGTCCTTCAACAAATAAATCTATCATTTTAGTCCCTAATCTATTTACTCCATATTAATTCGGTCCTTCTGTTAACATTGTGACGTTAAACAAACGGAATGTGATAATAAGTTAGTTCATGTATGTGTAAATCAACATACTTATTAAACAAAATATAACTAATAAATTTTCTGATATAATTAATATCTAAATAAATTAGAATGAAAATTACTTTCAAATCATAATACTCCGTATAACGCATTGGATAAAGTTATAAATTAATAATATACGTAGTATAATTTAGGATGCTTTTATTTGGACTGGTGAATCTTTGGTCTCTGAATATTTTATAATTGTCTAAGGATGTTTTCTTTTGGATTGAAATTTGCTTGTCTGGTCTGGTCTGATCTAGTCTGTTTAAGTTTGGTCTGGTCTGGTCTGAACTAGTCTGGTCTGGTCTGGTAAACGTCTGGTCTCTGTGTATTTTATAACTACAGAAGTCTGGTCTGGTTTGGTCTGTTTAAGTCTAGTCTGGTCTGGTCTGATCTGGGACTGAAAAAAGTCCAAAAGAAAACATCATAAAAGTCTTGTCTGGTCTGTTCTGCAGGTTTGATCTGGTCAGGGATTGAAACCGGTCCAATAAAAAACATCCTTACATACATATTCCTGATACGAATTAATAATGTTCAAGTTTTCAATTAAAGTATAACTTACTTGATACAGTTTATAAAAATTTCGGGGTCTTTATATATATGTGTGTGTGTGTGTTAGTGTGTATAATCACTTATTCATTTTTTTAACGATATAATAATTATGAATATTACGTCAGTAGATATTCTAATTACAAATTTATTTATTAAGCTATTATAGTATATTGATCTAATTTAAATCAATATTTTTTTTTATTAATCACATTAGTTTAAGAATTTTCCTTGTTAAATACTATGTATAAATATTACCACTATGCAAAAGATTTTTCTGCTATGCAAATAAAACTGAATTTTTCATCCCACGCGTACATTACACGTTAAGTAATTAAGTTTGGGAGTTTTACTAATCTTTATTTTTGCATATGCAATGAGAATATGGTGGAAAACCAAACAAAAAACTATAGAGTCCAAAGAAATGAAAAAAAATTATGTTAATTTATGAAACATTATATTTAATAACTTCATAATTAATAATGATTAATGATTAATGATTATGAAGCATTTTATAATTCTATAAATAGAAATAATTAAAGATTGTGTAAATATTTGATTAATAGTTACAATGTATAAATAACACATTGAAAATGAAATAAATATAAATATAATAATTGAAAAATAGAAACGTAAAAAATTCGAATTTCATTTGGACACATTAAAATAAAGATATAATAATGTAATATTCTGAAACTAGATTAGCTACTAAAAAATTACTAATATTTAGATAGTTCCAAATTAGGATATCACATTTGCTCTAGCTCTACCGTCAATTTAAACGCAAGAATTAACTGAAGGACTTGATTAATATAGATCAAATAGAATAAGGACTAAAATGATATATTTAGTAGTTCAAGGACCAAAACGATATGATGACGATAGTTTGAGGACTATTTATGTATTTTACTCCTATATCTAATATACCTAACTTTTTAAAACTGGCGATTTTTTTGATTTTTTTATAAGAATTCCATATATTGAATTCTATTAGTTACAAGTAAATAAATTATTTATGCATCAGTAGACATTCCATCATTTGCAATGGATCCAAAGATTCATTGTTTTTTAGCTTGAGAATATGATGGAATAAAGCAAAATGACCCACTAAAATGTCTGCGCTTCTTTGTTATGAATCAGCAGTCAGTCCATGTAATTTTGGATTCGATTTTCAGTATGAGTCATCCGGAAACAGTCTCTCTGTGCTTTAGTACAAGGGTAAGACTGCGTACATCCGACCTCCCTAACACCACCGTAGGTGGGAGCCTTTGCGACACTGGGACAAATGAAAATGAAAATGAATGATACTACGTAAGTATGTACTAGTACTCCATATTAAACAACATAACTAAGCAAATAGAAACTGGTACAACCTTATAGAATTAGCTGCACACCACGGCATAGATGAGGGTGTGCAAACAGTGTCGTTGCACCGGGCCTCCACATATATTAGGCCCATTTTTTTAAAATATATATATACCGATCCGTAGTATATAGTGTATATATAAATTAAAGAAATTGCCCTAAATGAGACTAAAACATTGCCTAAATTCCAAAATAGGACTATAAGTTTATTATTCCCTAAATAGGACTAAAGATTACACTTTTATCCCCTCATTTAATTAAACTCTCACCCCTCTGCCTTCTGCAATTCATCGACGATTTCTCCAAGCATGTTGCGAGCCTGCGATCCTTCCTCTCATTAACCGCAGCAGCTCCGCCATCGATTGTGGCCCGCACTGCAGCGCCTTCTGCAATAAAGTAATGATGCGAGCCTGAGATCCTTCTGCAATTAAGTACGTAGTACTCCCTCCGTCTCGTTTTTAACTTCTTACTTTGACCTTCACACATTTTTAGGAATTAAATTTGACTTTACTGTTTAGACACTGTTTAGACATTGTTTGACACTGTTTTGCACTGTTTTGCACTGTTTGACACTGTTTTGATGTAGGAAAACTTTCCATTTAGGTAAATGAGAAGATAATTCTGGGACGCCCCAAAAAGGAAAGCAGGAAGTTAATAACGGGATGGAGGGAGTAATTTTTAATTTAGCAATAAATCAATAAATATATTACTCCGTAGTAGGGGAACCCATTTACATTTTGAAACTCGGATAAATGAAAAGGCCCGGAACGGCCCAATTGCAAACAAAATCGAACGGTAAGCCTATACACCAAATTAAATGCAAAAAAGTTAGACCCCCCCCCCCAAAAAAAAAAAAAAAAAAAAAAAAAACTAGTCGGAACTCCGTTCTCTTTCTTCAGTGCTGGGCTTCTCAAATTAGGATTTGAAGTTCTGGTTTTGATTTTTTTCGAAAAATCAAAATAGTTGATTGCTTGGCTTGGCCGAAAGATTCAAGGTATTCAACTATTCGAGACATCCGGCCAAACGTAAAATCGTTCATTTTTTCTTATCCAATTTCTCAGATTAAGATTTTGTCATATTGATTTGTTTTTTTTCTTTCTGATTTTAGATTTATTTTTACTGATTTTATTTATTCTATTGTTCAAGTTCGAAAATCTGATTATCTCTCATTTAGCTCATTGATTGTAGCCCTTTTTTGAAGGGTGATTTTTGGTACGTCGTATTTGATAAGCCGAACTGAAGAGTTATTAGGCGGTGTGAATCTCCTTAAATTTGAAGTGATCTGGTTATTTTTGAAAGTGTGAATCTGTTTTTTTTTAAAGTTAATTCAATAATCTACTTAAATTTTAACCCAGTACTTTATTTTGATGCTCTATTTGACTCAAATGTGCTTGATGATTTTGGTATGATGCAAGCCTTTATCTGAACATTTCATATCTGAACTTTTCATATGTACCTTAGTGCATTTTAATTAATAAAAGGCCTAATTTTTGTGATTCGCATCAGGTCTTCAGATGTGTCAAGCAGGCACTGCTGCACACATTTTATGAAACCATAGGAGAACTTCGTGGCAATAAATCGACTACAATACAACCAGTTAATCAATTATGGTGATGGCCGTTGACTTTGGACATTCTGGCGTCACCGTTGGGGGCGGGACTCTGTCGGAACTGTACCAGAGTTCGAGGCGGCTATTGTTGAAGACTAGAGATGGATTAGAGAAGCTGGAGCGGTGTCAGTACACCTCTTCCTCCGCCTCGTCGTCGTCGAGCGCCTCGTCATTGGCCATAGACTCTTCCAGCAATTTGTTCGATTCTGTCAGGAAGGACATCACCCAGATCCAGTCGCTATGTTCCGAGATGGATCGCCTTTGGCGCTCTGTACATGCCAAGTCTCAACGTGATCTCTGGAAAAGGTCCTGATCGCTTATTCCAGTTTTTTCTTCAATTTGCGTGCTAAGTTGCCATTCATTTGCTTCTTCTTTTTTCGCGGACATGTGTAGTATATCAATTTATTGCATTCATCGTATGTACGGAGGCTAGATCACAAATTTTAAAACCACAAACTACAAAATTTGAGGAAAATAAATTTGAGACAATGGTAATATTAGCCTTTAGGTTGGTAAAGTAATGCTCCGTTTAAATTCTTCATCAGTGTTGCTAAATCAAATATAACATGATGATTTGGTATTTTCAACTGGATGAGAATGTAAGCTTGAGCACTATTGAAAATATCAATCCTAATGTTATGTTGAGAAAGTACTGTGGGATGCTCTCCAGTGTTGGTTTCAAATTTGCGATTTAGTGAAATAATTCAGATGGGAAATCAACTTGGCAAGTGTTTAGGCAATTTTTTTATCAATCAGGGAGTCAGGCTTTGCTTCTTCAGTCCAAGCGGGTCCCTCTCGATGTAATTTTAAAATGGTTGACACCTGAATAATGGAGAGAGATGGCCATCTTTACACCTCTTGGTAGGGTGAAGTTTGTTAACTGTGTTTTAGCATCACAACCAAGACTTGTAAGACCCGTTTCACTAGGATTATTTGGCTGAAATGGCTTAATGTAGTTACAAGCAGAACAAGCTGATCATGATTACCAAAAGGAGCTTACTTATCCATCACTTTGATGATTAAAATCGAAGGTTATGTTCTTATTCTAGTCTTAGCAGCTTCATTTATTGCATGTACAAAAATTAGGGATAGAACAATTCTGTAGTTGCTGCTGAATCATGTGATTTGATCATCTAATATTCTAATCTCTTGCATTCATTCTTTGTCAAATATTTGTTCCATTTCCCTTCATTCTATATTTCCATATGCTGCTGCTTGAGCACTTTGATATTCATTTCTTTTGTATGGAACTAGTCAAAGGTAAAACCTTGTAATTGCATAGGTTGTCTGTTCTAGGCTTTCTGAGACCCCCACCCCCATTGAAAGATGTGAGCAGAGAGCTTTTTAACATTTTTCTGAAGCTATATAGTCACACTGTTATGCAGAAAGGTTGAACAAGTGGCTGAAGAGGCTGACTCTTTGAAAGACAGTTTGAATAAATATGATCTATATAATAAGCGGCGAATACAAGAGGCTCAAGAGAGAGCTGAATTACTAGGAAGAGCTGTAAAGAATTCTTTTTTCTGCTTCTGCTAAATCTTTTTCCATTGATTTTTGTATTTAATTACAGTAGTTCTTTGGTAATCAGGACATGTATAACTGTATCTGATTTGTTATCCTAGAATGGAAGTTCATCTCATGTTCTTCGGATTTTTGATGAGGAAGCACAAGCAATGCAGTCTGTCCGCAGCTCTTCAAAGATGATGGAAGAAGCTTTGGCAACTGGTACTGCTATTCTATCTAAATACAGCGAGCAAAGGGAGAGATTAAAGGTATTTACTTGCATCTCCCCCACCCCTTCTCACCTCTGGTACCACTAAACACTGACACATCATGTATGGTTGTTTGTTTGCTTTGTTGTTATGCATTCTCATATACTCCTACCTGTGTTTTTTTTTAATATGCAATGGATATTTTAAATTTAGGAATGTTCTGATGAGCTAGATGACTACTTAGGCTCCGCCTCCCCAATGCCCCATTTGATTGCACAAAAATAAGTTGTGAAAAACGTTCTCTGTAATTTTTATGTATAATAAATCAGGAATACTGAAATTTCTTCAAGTAGAGTTCCTCTTTAAGTATGAGGCATGCATTCTTTCACAAAATTTCAAAGTTTCGAAGGAAGTATTTTCATTCAGGGATTTCCAGCGCCAAGCATAGCAAATTCAGAAAATATATTCCAAGAAACAAACAGAGCCAAAGCCTTAGTTGCAGCATTCATTTGCCTTTATGGTTTCCTGTATTGCTTAATGGTATTACAAATGCGTGTTTCTGTACCCTGATTTTCCTGTATCACAGGAATTTGAAATGTTTGACAATGTGTATTCTGACTCTCATGTATCACAGGAATATGAAATGATTGAAAATGGGGGGGGGGGGGGTCATTGATTTAGTGTGTTTCTCTTTAAGCATTTGGTTTAATTGGTTAAGAGTCTTTTGAAACTCAGAAAACGTCTTAATGAATACAGAAGAAATTTGGAAGGAAAGAAAATAATAATAATAAAAACAGTATGAAATTCAATATCTTAATTTTAGATATTTGTCTAAACTTATTTTATCTAAACACTTCTATTGTAGTAAGACTAAGAAGTAAGAATCTATGTACATGTAAAATTTCAAATCTTCAAAATCAAGTTTGATTTTCTCCTGTATTTATCCAATGCAAAACCAAACATTTAGGCCTTGTTTGGTACATTTTCTGTTCTCCTTTCTGTTTGTTTGAAAAACTAACGAAGTTCTAAGAGCCAGAATCAACATGATTATAACAAGTATGATTATTGTTTTAGTTTATTATACAATACTTCGTATATCATATACCTTTTGAAATCTGAAAAAACTGACATTAATAAAACTGTTTTCTTTATTTTCCACCCTTTCCCTGCTATTTTCCACTTTCGAACATAGATCAGAGATATGTTTGCGGTCACAAAAATGACCGAACTGCCTTTGCTCCACCTGTGTTGAAAACCTTAATAACCTATGAAATTTTGAACATGTCAGCATGCTCAACGAAAGGCTCTGGATGTCCTCAACACGTTGGGTCTATCGAATTCAGTATTGAGGCTGATTGAAAGGAGAAACCGTGTTGATAAGTGGATCAAGTATACCGGTATGGTTGTGTCAATCATCATCCTTGTTGTCGTGTGGAGGTGGACAAGATGAGTGAGTGGTTCTTTGACAAAAAACCGATGTTGAGGTAATTTGAAAGTAGCAGACCAGTGCCTGTTGGTTTTTAACAGCATCAAATTTTGGGATTATATTCCATTTTCCTTGCAAAAATCTTTGCTTGTTAGGGGAATGAAAATGCAGCTGGTGATTTGTAAGTTCGGTCGGAATCACACCCTTTTAGGTGACTGGGCCTCACAGTTGGGAAATCGTTGAATTTTGCTGGTGTTTACGTGAATATTACATATTATTATATATATATATATATATATATATATATATATATATATATAAAGATAGTGCAGTATATATTATATGCCTGTTGAAAGATGTTTGAATCAACTTTTTGTCTATCTATTTATATATATCTGTGTTGTACTATGCAGTATCAGTCTTCCATTGTTCAAAGGGCTAAAATAGCTTAGCCATTAAGGAGCCAAAAATGCCAAGTGTACACGTTTTTGTATATATAGAGTTGTATGTATACAAAATTCAAAAGTTTTCGACAAACAACTCTATGTGAGTAGACAGACAAGGTATGCGAATGGTGTATACGAAAGGGTGTATTTTTCTGAAGGAGTTGGCAAGTTGAGACATTACAAGTCTCGCTTTTTCTTTTCGGTCATTCCATATTATATATTCTCTTTCTAATTTTAATTTATCATCCAAAAAAGGTTAAAGTATAAGATACTCTATATTATGAATATTACGAATATTAGAGTTTTTTCACACAAACTTGTATTTTAGCCCTCCCTCTTGCATATCTAGTACTCCTTTCAAGAGTGCGTAATACAAACCCTCGTTACTGTCGTACATGCTTCCCGGTCTGGTCCGTGCATACATGTATAACATATAACATATAACAAAACAAATAACAAAAGACCTTCAACTCAATGCAATATGTATAAATCTATCGACTGACTCTTATTATGGACAATTTAAGTATGGACAATTTCACTAAAACTGTCAATCTCCTCCTGCAGAAAAATTTAAAAACTGTAACCTAACAAAAATATGTGATGTTTCCAGTATAATAAAATCTCAAGTAGCTAGCTTTAAAAGTAAACATATGACGGGAACAAAACATGAATAAACCTGAAATCTTGAATTGCTATCTGCAAAAGAAGCCAAAGCAAACTAAAAGAAGCCAACCTTTCCACAAAATTCATGCTCTCAAGATATTAAAAAAATAGAAACCAAATTAAGGCCTTTAAGGTGTCCAAAGAAACTATGTTTATATATATATATATATATATATATATATATATATATATATATATATATATATATATATATATATATATATAAATTATGACAATTACAGGTGGTTGAAATTCTGCATAGAAAGACGATAAACCTACTCACACACATAATCTATTATGGCAATAGAATTAGGGGTCACTACGTGGTTTTGATTTTTTTTTTGTAAGTGTGTAGATCTAATATTATAAAATACTCCGTAACATACAAAAACAACACGTTTTAAAATTTCCAAAACAAATTATTTCAAGCGTTTTAAAAATCACAAATAACATATGTACTCATATACCCACCCTAGCTACAATTGTTGGAAGTTGGAAATGAAAATAGTATATGAGCTCGTTTGGTAATACTCAAATCGATTTGATGGAGTATATGATCCAGGACCCCATTGTCCCACATACTTATGCTGTTATGCAACCTAGACATGCACATGCCTCCGCGGAACCCCAAGGCGGCACCCCTTGACGACCCCTCGGCAGCCCCCTTCGGCCATAATGCCATCGCCCATTATGCCCTTGGCCATTATGCCTTCGGCACTTCAGAGTTCAGAACACTCCTCCACATATTAGCTTTTGTACAGCCCATTAGCCACCTTTTATGTAATTGGGTCTGCTAGGCCCAACCTAGCAGTCCAAGCCCACATTCGCCTATATATACTCCTCATTGGGGCTTTGTAATGGATGGTTAATTGAATATACATTCTCACTTTCTCTCTCTAGCTCTCCCTTCTCTCTATAATAATATGTACGGTTAATGGTACCCCCGGTATCACAATCTATCAAGACTGTATTGACTTATTCTACTGAGTTTTACTCCCCCTGTCCCTTAAAACTCTGCCATCTTTTCTTTTTGGGACGTCCCAAAAAAGTTTGCCACCTTCCCTTTTAATAAATTTTTTTGTGGTTTTTGTTATTTCTCTCTCCCCTACACAAATCTCAACCATACACTTTTTACTTTATTATTCTCCGTGCCGGTTTTGTGGGTAGTATAAAGTTTTAAGGGATGTGGGTAGTATAATTTTTTGGCTCAAGTGGCTTGATTGGCTGATTCTGCTTATTTATTAAAATTTTATATTTAAAATATATTTTATTAATAAAATAAAGAAAATTGTTGGGTTAAGGGCCCAAGCCGAGGTCCGGCCCACTAACCCATTTTGTCAGACGAGCGTCCAGCTAGAAGCTAGGCCAGCCCACAGGCCCATGTTCTTTAAGGATGGACGAACGTCTGGTGTTGGAGGACCCAGGCCCAGCGGCTCCTTCCGACGAACGTCTATGCAGGGACAAGGAGCAGAGCCACGGGCCACCAGGGATGGCGACGAACGTCCCCAGAGCAAGCCTGTAGTCATCGGAGAAAACCCAGTGCACATGGTGAGTATCTATCAAGGCCAGGAGACGAACAGCCAATATCCCTCAAGGGTCACTTGGAGCAATCCAACTCACTTCCCGGGTGGACGAACGTCCCCACTGATCCGGCGGGAAACCTAGATTCTGGCGGGAAGTGCATTTAATGCTAAAGATTTGGTAGTTGGGACACCAGCGGTCCACAGGCTGCCACGTCAGTACAGCCACCTGCCCATTGGCGGGTATAAATAGAAGCATTTATTTCATTGTAAAGGGTTGGCAACTTTCTATTCTTAGCATATTAGCTTCAGCACTCTTACTTGCAGCCTTTCTAAGTGCCTTGTAAGACGAACGGCCGACGTGCCTTATTAGCAAGTAGATTGTATTTAGGGGAGTTATTACGAAGTTAATAATACCTACTTACATTGCCTGCTATCACTTTTGTTTCCTGATCCATCTCATAGTTGTTAGGCTAGATATCCACACACTCACTCCACTCGAAATCTTTGGGCTTACGTGTTGGGTCCAAGGGTTGAAGGAATAAACATCAACACTGGCGCCGTCTGTGGGAAACTGAGCAAAAAGTTTCCAGAAACTCTCCCAAACAGCTACTAAGTCTACCTACAGCAAACACGATGTCAGGAAGCAACAACCAGCGTGATCTCTCCGAGCGTCTGGAATCAAGCCGCCGGAACCGCGGCCAGAACTCGGAACTATCCGCAACAATATGGACCTCCGGGGGAAACGGGGGTATCACTGACCTCATTCCTCTGGAGGCCAGGCAGGATCCTCGCCTCATGCGGGAACTCGCAGACACCATGCGTCGCTTGGCGGACGAGCGGGAGGCCCGAGACCAGGTGTACTCTGCAAGTACCCAGCGAACGCCCCTCTCTCCCATACGCCGCATGCAGTCGTATGACGATACGACAGGATCCAGCGACCACCGGCCCTCAGTCCACGAGCGGCTAGGTGGGGGTTCAGGCTCCCGTGGAACGGGAGGGCGAACCAGAGTCAGCATCGCTGCATCCAGAGCTCACACACCATCAGTCCCCCGCCAAATCCCGCGGGGAGACGAGACCCCGAGGATCAACACCGTTGGACGACGTTTCCAACGGCGAGGTACGCAGATTTTTAGGCGGCCGCACGATGCTGTGGCCGCTCAGCACAATGCCGTCCCCGAAGCCGCGCCCCCTGTGTCCCCCGGAAGGGCCGCACAGGAGGCAAGGTTGGAGGCCATGGAAAGGCAGATAGCCGAGATGAATAGGCGGGCGGACGTTGGCTCGGCCACACCCTCTTTCTCTCTCACATCTCCCTTTACTCCACGGGTGATGAGCGTCGAGATTCCCCGGGACTGCAGGCCCCCGGGCAACTTGGTGTACAATGGGGCTGGCGATCCCAAGGCCCATCTGATAAGCTACCAAGGGAACCTGTCCATGCTGGGGGCATCAGACGAGGCCATCTGCAGATTGTTCTTCAGCACCCTCAGGGGGCCGGCGCAAGAATGGTTCGGCCAGTTGAGGCCAGGCACCATCGACTCATACGAACAGCTCTCCCAGCAGTTCATGGCGCAGTTTGCTGCCAGCACCACCCCCAGGAAGGACGTCACGGCTCTCGCCCACATCAAACAAGGGCGGGACGAACCGCTGGCTAGGTTCCTGGTAAGGTGGAGGGACGAGGTCCTACAGGTCGACGATCTGGACGAACGTCTGGCCACCAACATGTTCACCAGTGCGCTGGCCACAGGGGATCTATACCGGGACCTAAGGAGGAATCCCGGCACCAGCTACACCGAGGTTCTTGCTCGGGCCCAGAAGTATGCCTCCATTGAGGAGGAGATCAGGCAGCGGGACGGAGTTCCCGCGGCCCACCCACGGAAGATGGCGGACAGACTCGGGCCCGGGCCGGGACCCGGGCCCTCCCCCCCAAACAAAAAGAAGAGGACAGACGGGGCGATGGTCCCCTGGAAGGCTCCGTCCGGGGATACTCAAGCACGGCCGGACGACCGCTATGTCCCATTGGCCTATCCAGTGAGCCAAATCTTTGAGGCCATCAAGGACAAGGGCCTCCTAACGGAACCCCAGGATATGAATAAACATATGGGGCACGACCAATCGGCCTACTGTGAATACCATCAGAGGACCGGCCACCTGACGGATAATTGCAGCCAATTAAAGAAAGCGATCGACGAGCTGATCCGTCAGGGGTACCTGGGCGAGTTCACCCAGCTGCTGAACAAAAACAGCCAGCAGAAGCCGAACTCAAGGCACAAGACATGGCGCCGCGACGATCGGCGCGAGGCAGAACCTCAGGACGTGGATTATCGAAGTGCAGATAAACGTCCGGAGGGATCCCTCGGCCCGAAGGGCAAGAAGAAGAAATTGGAGATCAAGGTGATCTTCGGGGGCGCTGAGACAGGGGATACCCCCGCCGAGCGGAAAAAATTTGAGAGGTCACTCTATGTGGGTTCCGTATCAGCACCCCCCACCAAGCGCAATAGAGCCGAGGCAATTACCTTCGGCCCCGCTGACCTGCCAATGTCACCGGCGCCGCACAGAGACGAGCTGGTGATCAGCATGGACGTGAACGATGCTATCGTCCGTCGCGTCCTCGTTGATACCGGGAGCAGTGTGAA